TGAGAGTAAGGTCAAAGGTAAGAATTGACTCCCGTGTGAAGAACAACTAAGTAAGGGAGGATTTTTCAGCTTGGAAAAGAGACAAGGGTTGGGGGGAAAGATTTCATGGGAAAGCAAATCAGAGGAGGTGTTTTTCCCCATAATGCTAATTAAGCTGTGGAACTCCTTGCCATGGGCATTGTAGATACTAAAATTTTATAAAGATTCCAGGGTAGACTTGGCAAATTTACAAGTGACAAATTAACTGAGGGTCGTTACATTCACAAAAACATCTCTAGGAGGTCTCTTGAGTTTTACATTCCTAGAGGCTGGGAGAATGCTACGTGCTTGTTCTATTCCTACAGCACTCCCTAGGCATTCACTTTTGGCTACAATTGGAGGCAGGATACGGGGGGAGATAGACTTATGGTCTGACCCTGTACAGCTGTTCTTATGTTTTTATGATCTCATTTATCATAAATAGAATGTGTTTCTTTGTGTGACATTAAGATGGCTAAAAATTAGGAAACACATATTTGAGAAGGAGTATAAATAAAGGACTCTAGTCTCTAAAAAAAAGTTAAGAATAGGGTCAAAACCATAAGCTAAACCACACTGTTTCACTGCTGATGCATTTTGTGATGCATTTTATGATTTTACAATGCATATCATCCATTCTAAGAAGGAAGAAATTAAAGCTGTATACAATAGCCTTCCTGCTTGGAAGATGAGAGGGAAGGGGAACTCAGCATCCCAAAGGATGCACCAGTAACAACCCCAAACTAAACCAAGAGATGTGAGTCATCAAAGTTGCAATGCTATTGGAGAAAAGCCAGGAAGCCAGTTTTAAAATAGCGAGAGAGAGGAAGTGGGGGGAGAAAGGAGAAAAAAAAAAAAAAAACGAGAAAAAAAAGGAACAGAGAAAGAAAGAGAAAGAAAAAGGAAAACAAATCTTAAAAAAAAAAAAAAGAGGAGAACTTGGAGAGTTGGAGAGTGTTGCCCGAAGCTGAAAAGCCCTCGACGTAACCTATATACCAGCCTTTCAGACTGTAGTTGCTTTAGCCTGGTATGAATTTGTGCAGGCCTCAAAAGAGGCAATCCGGTATGCATCCTATACCCGACACTCCTTTCTACAAGCGCTTATACTGTGCCTGAACATGTAGCTGTGTGGTGAGTTCAATTAGGAAGAAATTCATTTAAAAATGAACCTCTGATGGCAGTCAGGTTTACGGTTGACACTAGCCTTAGTGCGAACTCTCTCTGGGGAGAGTTTGAGGATGAGGTATTTCTGCACAAGTTGCATTCCCATCCTAACACCTGGGGTATAGCTTAAAGATGAAGAAGCCTCCAAAAAAAAGTAGCCAAGAAGGAGTAATATTTTTAACTATACTCTGGAGTGGTGATGTATGTTTTATTTTCTTTTGATTATCTTTTTTCAGCCTTGTAATTCAAGAACTCAATCTTATTGCCTAAGCACAATAAAGCTGTACTTCACTTGACCCACAAGCTTGTCCAGTGCTAGTGGACTTCGGTGATGCTGAGAAATATGATGCACATTTCTTTGCGGATGAAAAGTTTGTATATAGTGTTCACTCAGGCACTGCTAGCAGACCAGTACCCTAAAATTTAGCAGGACTTAGAGAATGAGAAATTTCTTCTGTCTGCGGGAGTGCGGTAGCATTGCAAACCCTAAGATTGCCTTCAGTAAGCATATGCTCATGTTTCACCTGCAAAGCTCACAATGCAAAGCAGTCCTCACGATTCTGGCAGGCCCCTAGTCATCTCATTATTTATAGACTATCCTTATTACCAATGGTAAGGTAAAACTGTACTCGTTTGTGCTTTATATAACATACTTTGGGCTTAAATTATGAGTATCTCAATTTTTCCGCCAGAAAAGAAATCCCGTTTTTCAAGAACAAGAGAATAACACACGTAAGAGAAGAACATATGTAAAAGTGCTACACACAGTGCTGTAGAAAAGGCATAATTATTTAGCATTTAGGAAAGGAACAGTAAGGAGCTGCCTTCTTATTTCAAGGATAAACAAGTTATAGTGCTGCAATGATTGTGCTTGTCTTTAACCTGGTGTCACTAAGGAAGGGTAATTTTAACATTTTCAGCGCTGTGTGGCAGGAATCCGTTTTGGGACCCTCCTAACATTGATATACCTGCATAAACTAACTGCTTGTCCTTGTGCAAGTTCAGTTGCTGAGGCTTACCTGAGACACTAGCAACTATTCCCTGATATTTCTAGCTTCACACTCTCCTCTCATACAGAAAGAGAAGCTTCAAGAACTGCAGGTAGCAGGCACTCAGAGAAAAAAACAGCACACATTGTTTTCCTGATGCCTCAGATTACAGCAGAAAAGAGGATAGACTGGCTGCAGCTTGAAGTCTGCCATTTGGACCACTCTGCTTGCAGGCAAGATCATCTCAGGTAGAATGGGATGTGGAAGAATAAAAGGAGAGAGAAAAAGTGGAGTATCATCTCATGCAGTGGCCTCAGAAGAAAACAAGTTCAAACTTTTTTGTCAACTCTCTAGTCTTCTTGATAGTATTAATCTTAATAACTTTAGGAATAAAATTATTGGATGTGTTACTATTTTAAAACAGCATTTTCTAGACTATCTTTACCAGCTCCCAATGGATAAGACCCCCTTCTATTGAAAGTCCATCTGTATTTGCAGACCACCAATTCTTGTAGTGTTCTTAACAAGGGGTTGCCAAAACACTGAACAATTTTTTGAACTTTTCTTCCCTCCTCCTTATTTTTTCTTGATTTTCCTCTATTAAATAGAATGGCATACTCAATAAACCTCTCAATAATGAGGAAGAAAATAAAAGTTACAGACTATTTATAAACAATTGCAGAGAACCTCCATGTAGATTATTGGAATTCAGGATGTGGTTCCACAGCAGTTTAAATGTCACATGGGCTGTAGGGATGCTGCCACTTCCCCCCCAGCCCAGATTCCTGTTCCCATCCCTTTCACTAGCACTTCCACGCCTGCCCAGGAAGCTGATTCATCTGAAAACTAATTGGCTTCCTGTCTGAGGTGCAATTGTACAACTCCCAGGACCGCTGGGATGGCTAGAGATGTGTCAGGATTGGGGCAGCCCACTCTAAGGTCTGCTCTGGAACTGTACCCTCAGGCTTTCTGTTGTGAAAACTGCGGAAAGAAATAATACACATTCAAGAAAGCTTTCTATCTGTTGTGGGTAAGAAGAAATTTTTCCATGCTGATATCTTGGAATATTACAGAGCATTGCATGCTGTTTCCAAAAAGGGAAAGGGTGTGCATGTGGTAAGGTTTCAGAGAGATCTAATTAGAGACAAAGGAAAGTTGAAACACTTAGGCAGAGCTATGGAATAAAAAGTTAACTAGTTGGATCCCTAGGAAAGGGTAGACAGAAGACAGACGCAGGACACAAGTGTTCAATGAAAAATGTCTTTTAAGGTTAGCAGGTGGAGCTCTACTAGGTTCTTGTCTTTACTTGTTAGCTATGCATTTTATGCAAAGATCCTTTAATGCAAAATTTATAAATAGCACCTCGATCAAACACCAGGCGCTAGTACTCATCCTTTTCTTCCCCTCAGGGCACATGGCCACCGCAAGCTGCAGAAGGTAGCCTGTTGCCTGCCACCTCACAGGCGCAGGCAGCCTGATCCCAAAGCAGCACTGCGCTCAAACCCCCTCAGGCCGAGCCTAGGCCTACAGCCAGGGCTCCCGGGAGAGGAGCCTAGGCAACAGAGGCTGCTGCCTCTCACCCTAGGGCAACCCTAACCGAAATTACTCAGTACGTGCTGAGCTATGCGTTGTATTTAATGCCAGACGGAGCTGACTAGCGCTGGCCATAGGCTGGGCCCTTTCCTCTGAGAGCAGGCGGCGAGCAGCACCCAGTGAGCGCGCTGGCCGCGCTCGGGGGAGGCGGGAAGGCGGCCGGGCCCCTC